CAAAAGAGAAAAGAGACGAAGGGACGAAATTAACAAAAAAAATTCTTTACAAAAAATTAATTATTTTATGAATTATCATTTAGAATCATATAATTTTAGTACTATTTGATTTATCTCAGTAAGATGAATCGAATAGTATTAAAATTATATAATTCTGAATGGTAGTTCATGAGATAATTAATTTTTTGTAAAAGAATTTTTTTTGTCAATTTTATTCTTTTGTCTCTTTTCTCTTTCATCTCTTTTCCTTTCACCTTTTTTTCTTAGCACCAAGTTCAAATAATTTTAAATAATGTATAATCAATATGAATAGAGTACCTAAGTTAGTTTGATTAGTTTGAGTTCAGGTTTGGTTTGGTATTTTTATTAAACTCAAACTGTAAATTTTATTAATTTTCAAACTCAAACCAAATTCAAACTTCATTATCAGTTTGGTTTGAGTTTGATTTGAAGTTTGCAAACTAGTTTGAGTTTGAATATAGATAATAGTAATTTTTGTAAATTACAAAAAATTTTATTAAGTAAATCAATTATATGTATTAAGTCAATGTTATTCAGGAGATAAAATTACATATATTTTAAAAGTTTCATATAAATTAGATAACTTTTTATTAATTGACCTTTGATTTTTACGTTCAACAAATATAAAATTTAAAGAAATTGTAAAAAATTTATCTAAGATAATATACAAAATGTATTAATAAAAAGTTATTTAATTTGAATAAACTTTCAAAATATATGTATTTTGATTTTCTGAACAACTTTCATTTAATACACTATGTTAATTTACTTAGTAAAATTTGACTTTACTATGGAGTAACTACTGACAATTATTAAGTAACTTATTTTTGGATATAAGATGTTTTTATATTTTTTTTTTCAAAAAAAGAAGATAGCTTATTTTTGGTAGTAGTTTATTTTTAGAAATATATAGTATATTCAAACTCAAACTAGTTTGCAAACTTCAAACCCAAACTAAATCAAACCCAAATATTAACTAAAAGTTTGAAATCAAACACAAACTTTGACTAAAAGTTTGAAAACCAAACACAAACTTTATTAGAGTTTAGTTTGGTTTGGGTTTGTAGAAACACTAAACATGAATATAATAGTTTTAACATTGCTCAATAAACTTATAGAAAAAATATAAAGAATTCAATTAATATAGCTAAATTATAAAACTATATTGGTAATCTACATATTGTAAAACAGTTTTTCTTAATTTTCTTTATTACTTTAATAATGTACTAACCTTTCAAAGCTTAATTTTGCTAAAAGCACTCGTTTAGACATGTCTAGTAACATACTTTTTGAACCATGATTTTGCAAATCTGAAAAGAATACAGAAAAGTAGACAAAATAATAGCTTATGTTTAAGAGTATATTATTTTATAAGAAGAAGTTTGCTTTTTATATTTTTGATACTATTTATCTTGTAGAAACTTCAGCAATAATTTTGTCTTATGGAACATAGCATATTTCAACTAAGCTTTTAGGTGAAATTATTAAAAATATAATTTGAGTGCGTGAGAATGAAAACCTGTAACTGATCATAGTAAATCATTATAATCAGTTCCAGGTTTTTATTCTCACGCACTCATTTCATCAATTTGTGTAATTTATAAAAATCATATGACAAAATTTTAGATGTAACAAATCAGGTGTCTAATATGCACTTATGTACATACATATGTATGTCCATGCAGAGATGTTACAGGACAGTCTTTGAACATTTTAAATGACAAAATTACATAAAATGTTATTAATATAATCTATTTAACTTTCTAAGTAAAAATAAAAAAAATATATAATTATGTTTTTTAAATAATGTTTTAATCATAAAAGCTTTGGAAACTTTGATGTTTGTACATGTCAAAAAGGCTTTGAACATATGTACTGTATGTATACATGTATAACAAGGGTATGTAGCACAAATATTTACATCTCATAAATTTAAATATAACATCTTGCAATATCATACTTTATCATTTAGAAAAACCTGGTCACATTTATAGAACTGTATTCTTTTATGAATATGCACCAATAATTTCAATTATGTACAAAGTTGACAAGAGGTATTTATTCATAATAGAATATGGTAAATCTAATTATATACTACATTTAGTAGTATTAAGTATTTAATAATAAAAATTTTATTCAGTTCTTGTGTCCTTGTCGAAATAGCTAATGAAATTATAAACGATAAAAGCCCGCATTATATTATTGAATCTGATGCATATCGATACAAAAATCCATAAACGATTGGGACACATTTAAACCAGCTAATTGAGCAGCCAATCTATAGCAGGTCCGTTATCAAGCTACAAATTTTTATCACAATAATGTTATTTTATTTTGTTCCAGTGTTGCTATGAGGTATCTCAAAAACTGCTCATAATTTCATAAATATATTTTCAAATTCTAGAGACCTGTGAAATTGGAAATTGCTCCAAATATTACAGATGGTTCGGTTTATTTTTATTAAAATATTAGCTAAATTCGAAATTTTCAAAATTTAAACGGAGTTATTTCTAGTGATTCGACCGTCTAAAAAACCTTCACCCGGGTCACCCGTCGAGTGAACAATAAGTCACCCGGGTGGAAATCGGGTCAACTTAAAAATGTCACCCACCCGGGTCACCCGTTAGTTCACCTGGTTAGTATAAAAATACCATCCGGGTGGTAATATGACAAATTACAGCTCTTTTCAAATTAATAAAAATGATTTTTGACTGATTCGATTTATTTATTGATTTCGGCATAGTTGGCATATATTTTTAGACGTAATACTTCGGGATTAGAACCATACAGCTAAAATCAGGATAATTTCATGAAACGTCTAGTTGACTAGTTTAGAGCTATCGGGATAATATCGGACAATATGAATCAAGGCAAATCAGGATGATATTGGAGTTTTTTTCCTATAGAACAAGTCGACATGTAGATTATTGATGTATAAATATGATCAGTGATGTAATCTTTTTTTGCGTCTCAATAAGTCTCAATAGGAATATATAAATCACATGACTTTGAGACATATAGTGTCCAGGCCTGTGCAATTACATTTTTGACACATAAAATGCGTAATAAATTAATCTATTTTAATGTAACTAGTGCAAATAACAATATTGATTAATATCAATATAATATAGAGTTCCAATCCATTAACCGTTTATCCATATATCCGTAATCCGTTATCCAAGTATCCGATCTGAATTTATCCGGATATCCGTTTACTATTGATATCCGAATAATTTGTATATGATATTTGTCGGATTATCCGAATGTCAATAGTAAACGGATACGTATCTGGATAAATTCGGATATGGATAAATGAATGCCGGATTTATCCGGATTGGAACTCTAATATAATAAGATTAATTAATGCAAATACGTACTAAATGTCAATATTATATAAACTAATAAATACACGCAAAAAAGAATTTGTCACATTTAAAAACATATAGATAGATATGCAATATACGTACGTAGTAAACTGATATTTATTGTCGGGGATGAAGCTTGGAATCGGATGATGCAGAGAATTTGAATTATTTTAATATAAAATTTAAAAAATTTTTTGAGCTATTTTTTTTAGCCTTTTTTTTAAAGTTAGGTTAGAATTTAGGGTTGGAGTTTATAATAAAAGAGTATATGTGGATTTTAGTAGGGTTTATATTTTTAAATTGAGATCCAAATTCTTAGCATCATCCGATTCCAAGCTTCATCCCCGACATTTATTACTAATAAACCCAAATTCAAATTGATCAAAAAATTCAATATGCGAATAAATTATTAGCGAACTATATTTATTATCGTTATATTTTGAAAAATAATTAGAGTAATTCAATCTTATCTTTAATTATCATGACCTTTATTAGAGATGTAACACGAACTTTAGCCATATAATTAATAAAATGATAATACTCATATATTTATACATATTAAAGACCTACTACTACTTAACATAAAGTTACTAATGTTTTAAAACTATAATGTTCAGATTACATAAAATATGAACATTAGTACAAGCTTATTGTTATTATAATAGCATGACAAATGGTATGCATAAAATTCTTTAAGTTAAATCTTACATGTAACGTCTCAATCCAGCCCAGCATTTAGAACCTACATATGGTTAATATAACTAGTATTATCAATAAATGGTAAAAACATCCGCTTCTAAATGACGTTCTTGGGGTTAATGATTATTTTTGATTATTTTTGCACAGTGAATATAGAAGCTAGAAATGGGTTTTACAATGATTTTTTGTTAGTGAAACGTTACATTTCCAAAAAGTACTTTAAACTATATAAATAAGTTATCCGGGCCATAAGCAAATCATGTATCCATATGAACCAACGGGTTGACCGTAGGTTGGCTACCCGGGTTGTTACAACTCAACCCAGGTGACCCGGGTAAGACCCACCCGGGTCAAAACACTAGCAAAGACCCTACATGAGATCGTTAAAAAATTAATAAAATTACTCGAGAAAATTTTTTGTTTAAAAAAAAAAAAAAATCGAAAGATCAAATAGAATAACAGATACCAAATTTTTTTTCTTCATGTAATAAGTCCAGGACTGTTCCCTAAAATTCGGATAAATGCAATATCGATATAATCAACCATAGTTGATTATGTAAATTCAAAATTTGGTGTTTTTCTTTTTTTTTTTATTAACAGTTAAGAGAAGTTCATGTTAGTCCTAAAAAACTTTACATAAAAATCGGGTAAAAAAAAGGGTTGCAAATGACTATAAAAAGTTATTGATGATGTTTTGATTGAAAAATTACAGAGAAGAAATAAATTTTGAATATACATTTAAAACAATACCATATTTTGAAAAGTAAAGAAAAAGAACAAAATAGGTATTAACGAACCTTAAAATCTTACAATAAAAGTCATTAAATAAAATAATTTTATAATTAGAAAAGAAATTCCGAGACTAGTTGTAACGGAATTTTTTGAATAAACATTTTTTCAATAAAACTTTTTTTTTTAATTATGTTTCTGATTTGATAAACCCAAAGTTGATGTACTAGAAGCCAATTTTTCTTTTTCAATTGTAATGGTATTATGAACTGTTATTTGAGGGTATAATTCTTGATTGCTTTTGCTGATTCTATTGCCATCAAAGATGTAAGTACCACTTCCACTAGTATTTCTAATAGAGCTAGAGGGTTCGGATGAGTCGTATTTATTCGACCAACTTTCATGCGCAATATATAGTATCATATTTCCTATACCGCCAAAATTTATAGCAACTGCAGCTGCGGTATAAATCCATATATTATCATACTAAAAAAAAAAAAAAAAGACAATTTAGTGATACAAAGTTCGAGACAAACGACACACGTGACACCAGCACATTCATACATACTTGAACCATTTGAGCTATGAAATAAACTATTGAAGGAAACCATTCTATAAGGAATATTAGAATATAGCCAATAATTTTTCTCACAACAATAAGATCAATGCGACTAAATTTAACAGCATCAACATCAGAACCAAGTCTTCGAATGTTATTTTGTTGGATATTAACTTCCAATAAGGTCATAACATAACAATATGAAGTAACGAATAATATTAAAAAAATTAAAGCAACAGTTATTAGAGGCGTTACTGGATCAGCTGGAGCACTATAACACCTATTAAATAATATATAAGTAAGAAATTCACAAGTTACATAAAGATAATTAACATAAGACATACCAAAATTTGTTTGGACCATAATCACGAATACCAACCAAGGTTAATGATAAAGATATGAAGAAAATGACCAAAAATAATTTATAATCATATCTTCCAAAGTTAATAATAAATTTTCTACATATTCGAAGGTAAGTGGTCAAAGACAATGAACCAACTAAGGTCACATTACATGCGACAAAAAAGAATGTTATTCCACCAACTATTTTGCATCCATTGCCTTGTAAAGTTTGACCATTAACAGCCGAGTATAACTTATTTATTGAAAATAGGTAAGTTAGCGTATTCATGTATGTAAGATTTTTTAGGATTATTGTTATTGAAGGAAATACATACTATATTAATTAGATTTATTATAAATAAATTGAATTCTAAATTATTTAATTTATTTAAATTATTTAATTTATTTA